GTGGCCCTCGGTTGGCCCTGCCCCCTCCCTGCGGACCTGCCTTCGGGCTGCAAAGAACCATGCTGCTGCATTTGCGAATGCTTCTGACGTCGAAGTAGTTTATTCTCATTTCGGACTTTTAAAAGCATTTTAATCCCCACCCAAAGACGTATTTACTGGTTTGAGAGAGAGAGTAAGGAAGGAAGGGGAGGAGAGAGGTGGAGAGATCGTGGGAGGTGGGTGCCAGTGGCAGTGAGGGCCCGTCAGCATGCCTGAGGGTCTGTGCCCCCAAACCGAGTACCTGACAGGCCACCAAAAAGGTGGGGGGGCGCACCTGTTGAGACACTTCCGCTGTCAGCATGAGTCGGCAGAAGTCACTGGAAGCTCTGATGGCCTCTGGGGCTCCAGAAATCGCCGAGTCTGTGTCCAGGCCACGCCCTCCCACCTGCCCGCACATCCCACCAGCAGTGACCACGGCCATCAGTTAGCCAAGCCGCTACTGCCGGCCTTCGACGGAGAGGGTCTTCTGGAATCTCACACAGCAGGTCCCATCCCCAGAGAAATGGAGGCCGGGATAGGGGTTGTGGGATGGCTCTCACCTGGGCCCTGGGGGGACAGCCCTGCAGCCCTGCACAGCTGCTCCCTCCTCAGGCCTGAAGGCGGCAGGCGGGACAACTGTCCTTGGGCCCCGAGGCACTGGGGGCTCCTGTCCCACGGAGCTGCAGTCTCGGGGGCCCACACACAGCACCACACAGCGCTGAGGCACAAGTGCTGCCCGCTGAAGCAAGAGCCACGCCAGGCGGTCCAGACAATCAGGTCACTTACGGCTCAGAGGCGCATCCCGCACATCCGAAACAAGTGTGTCTGCCCTTCTGGGACCGCCGAGGCCTCGGCAAGGCACTAAGCCTCGGAAGTGACCCAACAGGCTCCCTTTCCCGGAGAGGCGGCGCGCGGGTGGGGGGCGGGCAGCACGCCACCTCCCGCAGGACACCCAGCGCAGACACCATTAGGTGACGCTTCAGACCGCCGCCCGCAACTCGCCCATTTAACGGAAACGGCCTCCTGTGCTTCCCGCAAGTGCCCTGCTGCTGACAGAGTGCAGGCCCTGGGCGAGGACACACAGCTGGCCTCCGCCCAGCCTCGCCCTGCTGGCGGCTCAGCCTCTCGCCGGCCTGCGGGTGTTGACCGCACGGGGCTAGGCCAAGGCCCCCGTGCCCCCCCGCCCCAGCTGTGGACAGGAACCCAGGCAGGCCTAGGACAAGAGCCCAGAAGCCTGCTGAGTCACCCCCAGCCCAGGCGTCGGAGCCAGCAGGGCCGGCCTGATTTGCCCCCAGCCTGGCAACGCCGGTGCGTCTGAAGGGAGCCTCCGGGAGGGGCGGCAGGACCGGGCAGCAGGGAGGAGGGGCCCGGAGCTTCCCGAGTTCAGGGATGGGACAGAGCGTGCTGGACCTGCCAGGCCCGCCCTGACTCAGCACTGCCCAGCATCCTTCCCAGAACTTGCTGGCCCCGTTCCGGGCCGGGCACCTGCTAGGAGCGGGAGTTGCCCTGGACACAGCCTGTGCGGCCAGGCTTTCCGGAAGCCTGGCTTCCCAGTAGCTCGCCTGAGAGAGAAGCCCATTGCCCTGAGAACAGCCTCAGTCTCGGCCAGGCGCCCGGAGCTGATCGGCCGAGAACAAGCCAGTCGGCAGCCTGGCCAGCACTTAACACGAAAACCCCGAGGCCTGGCGCAGGGTCTGCGCGGGGCTCAGGGCTGGGGGCTGTGACGGAGCTCGGCGAGTGAGGACAGCGTGGCGGGGGGCAGGGGGAGGCCACACCGCTGTGGCGGGCCGTCCACTGGACAGCATTGCCCGCCGCCGAGGGTCGATTCTCCCTCGGAGATGGACAACACTCAGTCCGCCCGGCCACCACTGATACGCCCTCCAGGGACGGCCGGGAAGTCCTCGTGGGGCCCGGGTCGGGTCCCCTCCCCCACGCCACGGTCTCCCCCCTTCGCCCCGTCATCGGGGATCAGCAGCAGCTGATCGTCCTGCCCGAAACACGAGTGTTGACATCTTCACCTTTCGAGGCCGACTCCGTCCTGGAAAGGCGCCCCCTAGACAGAGGCCCAGAACAGATCCCACCGACACCCCCGGGGGCAGCACGGGCGGGGTGGCCCCCGCCCCCACGGCCCTCCCAGGCCGCCGGCAGCCCACTGAGACACTCGTCCCCTGTGCGTGGCGTGAAGCAGAGTCGCGGTGGCGTTGCAAAGACAGCCTTCGAGGACGCCCAGGAAGCGTGAGCGTCTGCAAACGGTGTCCCCCCGTTACACTCCTGCGTCGTCCGTCAGATTTATTTCCCCCTCAACTCAGGCAGGTATTAATGACTCAGATGCACATGAGTGCGCATTGGGTCAGAGCAGTGTAAAGCATTTGCAAATGCTTTTAGAACTACGAGAACAATGAATATGTTTCGTTTCAGAATATTTTCCACTGCACTGTAACGAACAAGAAGTTCAGTGTTCGGTTTTAAACCAGAGCTGGGAGTGAACCAAGAATGCCGTTGCAATTGTATACGTATCTAAATACAAAAGTGAAAAAAACCCTCCAGCAGGCAACCCCCTCCCCAACCCACCCTCCCCCACAGCTGACATTTAACTCCTGCAGGACTGACTGCCTGGGTGCTCCCTAGTGCCAAAATGTGTTTCACTGGATAGGGAGGGGGAGCAAAACACTCAATTCATACCACTAGGCAGAAATTTGAGCTCTGGCGTGACAAAGGAAAACCTCACTGGGGTGACCTAACACACCCCACCCCTCCAGGGAGCAGGACACTGCGCTGCAAGGCAGGTCACAAACAAGGGGCTGCCCAGCCTCAGGCTGACGGCAGGGCACTGCTCCCCGCAAAGCCACGCAGGACACAGGGGTCTCGGATGCAGGTGTGTCTTGAGCCCAGGGGTCAGCAACATGGATCTGACAACACGACGAGAGACGACAGTGAAGGACAGGCGAGGGTCAGAGTCGATGCCCGCCGCCCCCAGAGCAGACGGCTGTGGGCACAGCCCCCAGGGCGGGTGGACTCGCCCCCACCTCAGCTGGCCAGGTCAGCGCCCAGGCTTGCCTTGGACGGGCAGCAGCCTGCTGAAGACAGAAACACAGGGACACGATTCCCAGTTCCGGGGCACAAGCTCAAGGACAGTATCATTTTCCACTTTTGAAGACTTGCCCTAAACCGAAACAGACAGGGCCGGGGAAATTACCCAGCTACGGATGAAACACAGCGGCCACCGCTCCCTCCCCTCCCCTCCAACAACAGAACAGGAGCGGCCGCCCGCAAACAAGGCTCTTCCACGGCCACACCTGGACAGGAGCAGCCGGGAGCCCCGGGACCCCAGACAAAGCCTTTTCAGAGAGACCAAATTGTTACTTGACCTGTGATACATTTCCCTTGGCCCTTGCCATTTGTCACTGAAAAAACAACGCTGCTTCCCACCAAATGACCTTTTGACAAATGAACTTAGTGTTTCTTTAACCGGCCACACACACACACAAAACTGCTCCCAAGCAGAAGCTGCCTGTCACCGACCCCTGGCAGCCTGCACAGCGAAAACAGGCCGGACCTGAGCACCTCCCTGGGGGCCCTGGAGGGCCTGCAGAAGGCAGCCAAGGGTGGAGGCCCTGAACCGCACTCAACCTTAGGGAACCCTGGGCGCTCGGGCGCTCGGGAGCCACCACCACCACTTAGTAGCTACTGCAGGACACGAAGGTCAGTGCTGCTGCTCTAGCAGGAAAGAACAGAATCTAAGACCCCCAAGGCGGGGCCCCAGGCATCCTGAGCCCCCAACCCAGCACTCACACTGGGAGGGCTCTTTCTTCCCAAGGCCTCCAGGCCTTTGGGCCCCTGAGCTCTCCCTCTACCACCGCCAGGGACCGCGGGATCCGAAAGGATCTGCTGTCTCCCTGCATGGGTGTACCGAGAGGGCACGGATTTAAGGAAACCCCTACCTGGAGAAATCACCCTGGGGGTGGGGGAGGACCGGAGCTGAGAAGCCTGATCCAGAAAAGTAGTCAGCCTGGGGGAAGGGGAAGGTTACCTCGGTGTCGATCAGAGACACTACGACCTCAGCTATCTAAGGCGCCCTTAGGTCGCCGGTAACCCCACCCAAGCCTTAATCCCCCAACCAAGACCTGGGGCGCCTGGGCCTTCCCACAGCGCCGGCCCCGACACCGAGAACGAGCCCAGGACCCTGTGTCCGGCTCCGTGACGCCGCCGCCCTGATCGCTCCGGCTGCAGCGGACACGAGCCTGAGCGGGCAGCGGGGACGCTGCGCCCGCAGTGCGACTGGCGCAGCCGCCGGGGCGCGGGGAGCGCCGCCCGGACCCGGTCCCCGACCCCGCGCGGAGGAGGGATGCTGTGCCAGGAAATGGGGGAACTGCCTCCGGTCCTGCTCCGGGAGCCTGTGGGTGGGCACCGGGCGCGGATGGGGACGCCACTGGCCGAGGTGCGGACCGGTCCCGGTTCGGGAAGGCAGGGCCCAGACAGTGGATGGGGATCCACTCTGGACACGGGACCGGGGAGAGGGGCACGGGTTCCCTCTAGAACCTGCGGGAAGTGGGACGGGGACTGCTCCGGAGTGCAGAGCGAGGTTGCGAGGTAATTCCAAGCCCAGGGTAAAGGGGTGGGGGCGGCGGGCACAGGGGGATGAAGAAGTCACACCGGGGCAGGCGAGGGGGGATGGAAGTGTCCTGTCCATCCCTGTGGGACCCAGGAGTAGGGGTCTGCCACAGGCTGCAGTGCGGGCCCGTGAGAAGCGAGCAGACTGGGATGGGAAGAGAGAGGGGCCGCCCTGGCCGCGGGCGGGGCGAGAGGGGTGCACCCAGGCCAAAGGCAAGCGCGGGCGGTCCACCGTAGACGGCGCTGGGGCTACCCTCTGGGACACAGCCACTCGCTGGGCTGGAACTGGGACCCGCCGCACGCGAGGGCGACGGTCCGTGCCTGGCGGAGGGGCGGAGGTCTGTTTGCGCAGGCGGGACGGGGCCGCTCACCTTGGGTTTGTACAGCCACTTTCGGAACCTGTGCATCATCGCCGCGCCGGCCCGGCCCGCCCGGCGGCCCTCCCTCCGCGGCGCTGCGCCCGGGCCCGGCTGCGGCGGGCGGTCCCGGGGCGCCGGGCGGGCGGCGGGCAGGTGCGGGACAGGTGCGCGGCCGGGGAGATGCTCAGCAAGCAGCGTGCCACGCAGCGTACCCGCAGACAGCCGCGGGCGGACGGGCTCACGCGGCACGGGGCGCCGGCTCCTCGCCGCTCACTGACACCCCGCGACTCCGCCGGCCCCCGCTGCTCCGCGCTGCACATGCGCTGATGCCCGCGAACCCCCGCCGCCCGAGGCGCGCTCCCCGCCCGGGGGCGTTGGGAGCACCTAGCGGGGCTGGGGAACTACAAGTCCCGTCCGGCGACGCAGGGGCGAGGCCGTGCTCGCGGTGTCCTTCTCCCAGCCGCGCGCGCTGGGCATTCTGGGAGTTGTAGTGTTCTCGCAGGGGCGCCGGAGCGGGGTGCTGTTGCTAGGCGACGACGCCCAAACGGCACCCCAGCCCGGACAGCCCACTCTCCGAGTGCTCGCGGACTCGGAGCGGAGCAGGAGCGAGGTGGGGTACCCCCCGAGGTTTCCGAGTCCCCTCGCGCCGCGTGCGTCTGGCAGCCCCTGTGGCGGCGGGTGGAGGCGAGAAAGAAGGTGCGAAAGCGCCCCGGGCGCCGCCGGCTGGTACGGAGGCAGAGAAGTGGGGCCCGGGTGGCGGGGCGCGGCTGGGTCCCGCACCCCAGCACCATCCCAGCCCCGCAGGCGGGTCCCCGGCGCCCGGGCTCCCGCCTTCTTGCTTTGCTTTTCGGTCTTCCCAGCTCTTTGACTCAGTTAACGGAGCTTTTTTTTAAAAATCGCCACTGTAAACAGAACTTTAAAAAATGTACATTTCCCCACATTCACTACCGCCCGCAACGGTGCCCTAACTTGGATCTATAAAAGCGGTCAGCAAACTCTGAGAACCTGTTATATATGCCAAGCTGACAGGCAGGTGGTCTCACATCACACTCCCGTGGTCAGCTGAAGACACTGAGACACGAAGGGGAGCCGGGGAAGGGGGTCCCGAGGCAGGGCGAGTGTGCCCTCCGGCTCCGCCCCGCGCTCTCCGGCCGGCCCCTCCCAGCGGCGCTGCTCTGGCTGCTCCACAACAAGGCGCAGATTCAGGTCGCAGGGGAGGGAAGTGAGGCCTGGTGGGGGGGGGCGGGGGGGACGGAGGCTGTGCGGTGCGCCTGCATTATCACTGGCCCCGGGCATGTAGCCTGATGTTCTGGAACCCCGGACGCCTCTATTCCATTCAAGTCGGGTGCTTCCGGGCAGGGCCAGCTTCCAAGATGTCCCCATGTGCTGGTGGTCATCCATGCCCGCTTTTGAGGACCTGTTTGACCTTCCCCGCTGGCCTCCGGCTATCGCCTAGCCATGGCTCCCCTAGAGCTCACAGCCCTCCTGAGTTGCGTCTTATCTCCGGTGCCTTTCAGCCTCTTCTCCCCTGGACCCGCCCCACCACTCCAGTCAGATTTCCACCCAGCGCCTCCTTCGAGGCTCTTGGCCGGAGTCACCCTTGACCCGATGTGGCTAAGTCCGGCGACCAGACCTCACGCCATCTCCTTCTTGAACCGCCCACCACAGGTGGGCCGGTGGTGTGCTCCCCTCCTGGACACATTGTCCCCACCTGGCCGGCACAGGTCTCCCTGTCCCCCTCTCCCCCGGGGCTGCCTGGCCCCCTAGCACTCAGGACTCTAAACTTAGTCCTTGGGAGCCCCTCTCCCCGCCCATCCACAGGTGACTTCCTGTGGTCCTGTGGACATCTCCAGCCTGAACTTCGCCCTGGGACCCCAGCCCCCTTTCCCGGTTCTCTCCCAGCTGGGAGTCTGACAGAGCCCCTCCCACTCAATGCGTACAGCTTGCACTCTCCATGGTAAAACCTGCTGCTACCCCGCCGCCACCTGTCCAGTGGGAGAACTCGGGGTAGACACCCGGCGGGCTCTTTTCTGTGGGTCTGTCTTTGGCCAATGGGAAGGCCAGGGCTGTTGTTACTGCTCAGAGGCTCCTTCCAAAGCATCCCAGTTTGAAATTGCTCAGAAAGGAATTTGACCTCAGGGCAGTGGGTCAGTTAGGATTCTGTATGGCTGCATGGAAGGAAAAATCCTAGCGTCATGTGGTCCAAACAAAATTATTCATGTTTCCATGAAGGACATGCACAGGGAGATGATCCTGGGAGGTCATCAGAGACCTGGGGTCTAGCTTGCTCTTCTGCCATCTTTAATGTGTTTCCTCACGGTGCAGAATAGCTGCCTATGTTCCTGCCATTACCTCCTGAGTCCAGGCAGCAGGACGGAAAGAAGAGAAGGGAATGCCCCTCCTTCTTACACGGAGACCTTCCTTAAGTCTCACACCTCATCACTGCTTGGCCACTCCGCAGCCAGAGAGGCTGGAAGATGCCCCACCCGAAGTCAGGGTTTTGTCTGCTCAGGAGGAAAGGGAGAGTATGGATTGGGAAGCAACCAGCAAAACCCGCCACGTGAGCCTGTGCTTTAAGCACAGGCTGTCAGAGCATGACTTGGCAGAAACCCTTAGGGTTCAAGGCCAGAAAAGGAATAGATTTCTAATCAGCACACATTTGGGGTCTGTGTGAGCAAAGCCTCTCGGGTGGTTGAGAGCGCTGAACTAGGCCATGTCTGGTAACCTTCGAATCTTCTCATCCCTGTCTATGAAAGGTTTGCTGAGGAAAGGGGAGCGTTGGCCCAGCCCACCTCTGGAGTTTCCTCGAATAGGACACAGTCAGGTCCTGACTAGTGACGTTGAAAATCGATACCGGGAAAGTCTGGGAATGAAGCCCCACTGCGCACCACTGACATCAAGCCGAGGTGCCGGAAGCTGGCGGAAGGGTTGAGCCAACGTTAGTGCCTGTTTCCTGCCCAGAGATGAGAGTGTTTTGACCAAGTTCACAGGCTAACCTTCATGGGAACACACAGCCCACACAGTGTCTCTCTCCCTGACGTCGGCCCTCAGGGCCCAGCCGCTCTCTGCGGTGGGAGCCGGGAGCACGGCTGGGCTAGGCCACACCTCTTCCCCCGCCCCACGGTCCCACACACTCCCCCCTCCCCACCTGCTCCCCTGGGCTCCTGGATTCGCCCACCCCGGCCTCGGCTGGACTGGGGAGGGCTTGGGTGGTTCTTTGTGCTGCTCCTTGACCCGCCTCATCACCAGTGGCCCCCGGGATCCTCGTTTCTCCAGAATGTTCAGGCTCCAGGACTGGAGGGCAGGGCCGGGAAGCCGTCTGTCCAGGGCAGCTCCGACTGCAGGGGCACAGGCCGCCCGCTGGCCCTGCCCCCACGAGGAGCAGAGGGATGTGTCTCCCCCACCCCTGTCCCCCGCTGCGAGCCCCAAACTCGCGGGTGTTGTTTCCTTCGTCACGTTGACCTGGGTGCCTCGTCACACAGCCGCCGCCCATGCCGAGTGGCCGTGGGGGTCAGGCAGAGCGGGAGCTGGGCCTGAGGGGCTCCCACAGGCAGAAGAATTTCCCACGGGGGTGGGAAGCCTGACGCCGCCCCCCCCCCCCGCCCCGTCTCAGCACAGTTTCCTTCTCTCCCTCGTTGCCTTGCTCAGAAGTATTGCGGCATCTGACTTTCCGGTTAAACGGGGCACGCCTGAGCTCTGTCGGCTGCGGGATCCGAGGGAGCCAGGGCCCGAAACAGCTCGGAGTGGCCCCCGGGTAGGTATCTCTCAAGATGTCAAAGGATGAAAACCGAGAGCTCCGCGTCTCCGAGTGGGGACCTGGCGGTGAAGCTGGCCCCCCACCAGGTTCGGGCGAGGTCAGCGGAGGCACAGGGAAGGGCAGAGCTCGGGGAGGAGGAAGGCAGGCTCGCAGGTCGCCGTGTTTGGGCTGGGTGCTGAGGGGTGCCTAGGAGCTCACCAGGGAGGGGAAAGGGGGGTGTTCGAGGCTCAGGGGGCTCATGGGAAAGGGCTTCTGAGGCCGTGCGCAGCCTGAGTGGATGCAGCAGCAGGGAGGGGGAGGGTCCCAGGGACTGTGGTCCAGGCTGTAAGGGGTGGGCATGCCGAGGAGACCCCTGAGGCAGCTGAGAAGGTGGGGAGGGTGTGCTGGTGACGGCCGGAGTGGCAGGAGATGGCCCTGCGCCGAGACCATTTCCCCAGGCCTGCCCCTCCGGCGCCCCCACGGGAGGCTGGGCCCGGACTCCGGCATCTGTCGGGAGACCTGCCTGGAAGGGAGGGAGGGGGCACAGAGGCGTGCTGGGGGAGAGGCCGGGCCAGGTCTGGGAGACCTGGGGTGGCCAGTGGGGGCAGCCAGCTCCGGCGCGCCTCAGCTGGGACATCCCCGAGGCCCCGGGAAGGGGACCAGCTGAGAGGGCGGGCCCTGCTCGGGGCCCATTCTGGGTGTTCTCTGGCCGCACCCTGGGTGCGGGGCACCCTGAGAAACGTGCCCCTCCAGGCTCTGATGCGGGGGACGGATGCTCAGTGTCCCCGGGCTGTTCCGGAGAGGCGCTCGCAAACCTGGAAACCGAGTCTTTTCTGGGCACCCTCCCACCCTCCAGGGACCCGCGTGCCCCAGCCCTCAGGGCCAAGCCCCAAACCTGGGGGCACTGCGCCTGATCTCAGACCCCGCACCCCGGGGCTGCCTTTGGCTCCGAGAGGCTCCCGCAGCGTCTGGGATGGTTTCCCACTTAGGAGCGACCTGAGGGGGGACGAGGGGCCCCATGCCAAGGGCAGCAGGGAGAGCTCGGGGTCCAAGCCAGTCTGGGACCCCCAGGGCGAGGGGTGGGGCAGGGCAGAGACCTACCCGGATGGGCCGGCTAGGTCAGGACCAAGGCTGCAGGGGTCATGCTGACCCGCCCACGGTCCCTGTCCCCTCTGCGGAACCTGGGCTCGGAAAGGTTCAGCCGCTTGTCCTCAGGTGCACAGCAGACCCGGCATTCCAGCAGTGGCCACAGCGCCCGCCCCCCAGGAGGCCTCTGCACCCTCCCCCACTGCATGCCCCCTGCCTCAGCACCGCCTCCCCTCCCCTGTCCGTGCCGGAGGAGAGGACGGGCAGAGTGGACACCCCCTCCCTCGAGCCACAGACAAGGGGCTGCTCCCGGTGCAGAAAATGTTTCGGGTCCAGGCTCTCTGTATGGCCCGTGTGTCCCTGTCCTCAAACCCGCCCCAAGTGCTGGTGGCTTTGGCCCTCATCCTCTTGAAAGTGATGGGGCGGGGAGAGGGAGTTAGCCCATCTGGGGGCCACTGTCCCGGGGGAGGGACGGAGCCCCGCTGTCCCAGGGCACGAGCCCAGGACGGCCAGTGGTGTGCTGCCCAGAGAGGCTGTGCAGTCAGCTCGGAACCAGTGGGGAGGGCGCCCGTGGGGGCCTGGCCACACCCTCGGGCAGTCTGGAGGCCGCCTGGGAGAGCCAGTCCTGGGACCCCGCCCGAGCAGGTCCTCCAGGGTCCTCCCGAGACGGGTGCAGGGCACGCCGCTCTCTGGGAGCTCCGGGGTCGCCAGAGCAGGCAGAGCATGCGGGAGCCTGGCCGCGGCCAGCTGTGCAGCCTCCCTGGAGCTTGCTCCCTCACCTTTCAAGTGGGGTGTCCACCTGAGCGACCTGAGGTTCTTCCCGCCCCAGCCTCCTGTGGTGAGGTCACACGTCCCTGCTGGGCGTGTCTTGCAGAGCCACATGGTCAAACCCTGGGCTGAGGGACGCCCGGAGGTGCCTCAGCTCTGGCCTGGCACCTCCCAGGGGGCACCCCCCACCATGTAAAGTTGGGGGACAGGTGGGAGCAGCCTGAGCCCCTGGACAGCAGGAGACGCAGGGAGAGCCTAGGAAGTGGCCCAGGTTGCCCCAGCTGGGGTCCCCGTTTCCACTCAACGCTCCTCACCACACGAGGCCCCGGGGCCCTGGCAGCCTCCCATCCCGTTGGTGAGGGTCCTGCGGCCATTTCTGCTGCCCGCTGAGCTGGCCTGCACGGTTTGCTTGCAGGGCCCTCCCCGGGAAGATGGCCTACTACAGAAAATGCCTGGGGGCTGTGATCGAGCAACTGGGCCGGTTTAAACCCAAGAAGGACAGTCCGGAGCAGTTCCTGGAGGCCGTGCGTGCGTCCCTGCAGGTAGGGGCGGGGTGGCGCTTCGGGCCGCCAAGGGGCCGGCCAGGGACACCTGTCAGGGAGCCAGTCACCTTCCAGGAAATGGCACCAGGCTCCTTCCTGACACACGAGGCCTGGGGACGCGTCCTGGTCTCCAAGGCCTGGCCATCCTAAAGGTCACTCCAGCAGGTCACCGGAGCGGCTGACAGTGCTCAGCCGAGCGCCCTGCAGGCACAGACCCCTCCTGGCCCTGGGCGGCGGGCCTGGCCCCCAGAGTGTGTGTCACGCTGCGCAGCGCACTGGCATGCACCTCGGGCTGCTGCGTCCGCACGCCTGACTGCCCCCAGCCGGGCTGCCCACCCTCTGCTTCAGTCCCCGTGGGGGGGGCTGGGCACCGCAGCCGGCTCACCCTCGGCCACCACCCCTGCTGTCCTCTGGTATCTGCTTACAGGCCGGGGCAGCAGCCCGGCTGTCCCTTTTTCCAGCAGGGCTGTGGCCCCCCAGGGAGGCGGTCCCCGCAGCCCCCGTACCTGCTCAGGTGTGGCCTCTGCTGCACCCCCTTGGGGTGGAGGGGCCCTGCAGTGCAGCCCCCAGAAAGCCTCTGGACTGGGGTGGGGCAGGACAAGCGGTCACTGCCCTGCCCGTGGGGGCGGGAGGGACGGCAGGACCTGCGAGAGGGAGCTTGCGGCCCTGGCCCCGTTCGGACTGAGGGTGCGCTCCAGTGGCTCTGCCTCCCTCCCACCCACTCGCCGGGTCTGCACCCGCTCTCCAGTCCGTTCCCTGAGCCCAAAGCAGTTGGGGGAAATGATGAAGCTGCCGAGGGCCAGGCCCAAGCACACCCATCCGTCCCGAGGCTGCAAGGCCCAATGCGGGGACAACCCTTCCTGCTGCCCAACCCCCCAGTGCCTGCCTGCAGCTGCCCCCTGGGTTCCCCATCAACTACTATGTACTGGGGGAGGGAAGGAGAAAGAGAGGGAGAGAAACACCAGTGTGTGGTTGCCTCTCCTGCGCCCCCTACTGGGGACCTGGCCTGCAACCCAGGCATGTGCCCTGGCGGGGAATCGAACCAGGGACCCTTTGGTTTGCGGGCTGGGGCTCAAGCCACTGAGCCACACCAGCCGGGGCCTTTGCTCCAGCTTTAAGAACAGTCCTCCTGCCCGTCACCCCCTGTAGTTCCCACTGTCCCACATCTGACTCTCTGTCCTCAGCTGCCCTCCCCCCCGCCCAGCTCAGGCGAAAGTAGTAAAGTTAGTGACTGTATTTCATAGCTGGGATGGACAGCTGGGCTGTCACTGCAAACTGTTCGGGGGATCTCGTCCCCACGAACAGCAGGTTATGAGCGGGGAACGCACCCTGGCAGTCCCCGGGCGAGCCTGGCATGGTGACGTCCGCCTGCCTGTCTGTGGGGGGCACCCACCACCCCGACTCCGGGCGGCCGGCGCCCTGGGATGGCGGGGCGCTCGCTCACGCGGGCAGAGTTGCAGCCCCTCCGTCGGACACACTGGTCCTGGCTGGCCCCTCCAGAAGGCCGCGGGGGTCCCAGGCGATGGAGCCCCGGACAGCGACCGGTCCAGGCCGCACATGTTTATCTCCAGCTGCCGGGGCCAAGGCCTGAGACTGCCCCGGCCGGAGGTCGGAGGGCACGCAGACAATGGCAGCTGGGGACGGGCAGGGCTGTGGGGCTCACCTGCACCCCTACAAAGACATGCCGGAGTCCTCGCCCCTCGTTACCTGCGAGTTTGACCTTATTTGGAAATGCCATCTTTGCAGACTCGATTAGGAATCTCGAGATGAGGTTGTCCTTGCTTTAGGGTGAACCCCAAGTGCGGAAACGGGGGTCCTTTTAGGAAGAGGGAGGTGGGATGCAGACCACGTGACAGCGGAGACACAAGAAGGCCCAGGGACCGCGGGGGTGGAGCCAGGGTGCCAGCTCTGCCAGCGGGGGGTGGGGGGCGGCACCGGCCATACCAGCCTCCGGAGGGGGGCATGTGGGGCCGTCCACCTGCTGCTCAGGGAGGGCCTGACCTCTGCCGCCTCGGTTTCTGATGTCCGGCCTCCGGAACCGCGAGAGGACGCAGTTCACTGTTTGCAGCTGGCGGGTTTGGGGCGACCTGCTGCAAGCAAGCTGCTCCCACGGGAGCCTGGGGAGGATGGAGGGGCCGGGCTGGGACGCTCCGAGCTGCTGCTGAAGTGCTGGGCCCGGGACCAGGTGCAGCGGAGGGACCCGAGGGGCCGGGGCAGGCCCGACGCAGTGAGCGGGGCAGCCCACGGGGTGCAGGCAGCGGTGGGTTTGGGGCAGGTGTGGGGCCTCTCCCTCTCCGGGTGGAGGTCTGGGGACCGTCCTCTCGCACACTCGTGCACACACGCAGGGGACAGCCCCCCGGCCCTCGGGTGGGCCTCCCTCGGCGGCAGTCCAGCCGCCCCTCACAGAGAAGGTTGGAGGGGCCAGAGAGGGGCCCGTCGCCCCGCCGTGCATGTGGGGTGCCGAGGCCGGGGGTTCTCCACGCGGCTGCAGAGCAACGGAAGTGGCCTGAAGGCCGGGAACAACTCTGAGCCCCGGCTGCTGGGCCGGGGCTGGAGCCGGAGGAAGGGGCGCGGCCAGCACGCAGCTTGGGCCACCCCAAAACCTGGGTTCTGCAGTGTGTCCCCGGCCAGGTGCTCTGGGGGGAACATGCATCGTCTCACTAGGGCACAACCACGGGGGACATGAGAGTGTCCCGTAAGGGGGATGGGTACTACGGGCTGCCACTCCCTGGGGGCCACGCCTTCCCCTGCCGCCCGCTGCAGGGCCCTCCCTCCAGGCTGGCCAGCCCGAGAGCTCGGGCACCAGGGCCAATGGGCCGGGCTTGGGAACCTGCAGAGGCTGGACCCGGGCCTGCGGGGCAGAGGCGGGCGCATCGGGCACAGCGGGCAGCCCGGGGCTTCCAGGAAGTCATGAGGTCCGAGCGGGACTTGGAGAAGCACCTGGCTTTGAGAGAGAGCCCTGGGGGTGGGAGGATCCCAGGCACTGGGACTGCAGTCCTGACCTGTGGCCGAGTGGGAGGCAGTGGTCCAGGCACGGTGTGGGCAGGGGCCACAGAGGGCCCGCATGCGCACAGCGTGGGCACCAGAGCCGGGGAGGTGGGCCGCTCAGGGGCCACCAGGCAGGCCAGCCGGTGCGCTCCGGGCAGGAGGACCAGAGGTCAGCACTGGGCTGGCAGACGAGTGACCGGCAGTGGTCAGGCTGCCGATGCAGGGGGAGGCAGGGGTGGGGAAAGGCCGAGCCAGAGGGGAGGGAGGACAGGGTGGACAGAGCAGGAGGGAGCAGCTCGAGAGCCCATCACAGAATCAGAGGCCCCGTGGGCAGCCACGGCCTGCGGGCCTCCGTGGCCGGCTAGCCAGAGTCAGCACCCAGCTCCAGCTCGGGGCCCTCCCTGCACAACTTGGCCCCCCGCCACCCCCGCCCAGCCCCGCCTGCTCGGCGCCCTCCGGCCGGCACCATCCCCGGGCCTCAGGGTCCTCTCTGCGCCCGGCAGGGCTGATCTTCCCGGGGGCGGGGACCTGGCCGAGGGCCCAGCCTGGCACGGGGGCCAGCGTGTTGTCCACCCCTTGGCCCCGTGGAGCCCTGCCCGAGACCTCCTGCCGGGGGGCCGGTGGCAGCGGGGCCTGCACCTCGGGCTCCGGGTCTGACCCTGTTGACAGTGCCCCCTCCCGCCCACAGAGGCCGGGACGTAGCTGGCAGGACGCGCAGGGGCTGTGCCCTGGGCCTCGCGGGGAGGCGGGCGCAGAGGCGGCCGTGGGCAGCACGCCCCGGTCCACTCCGCTCCTGCTGGCAGAGCTGACGCGGCCGCCCCAGGGCCAGCCCTGCCGGCGCTGCCCCGTCTGCCACCCACGGAGTGGGCCGGGGTCACAGTGGGGGCGGGGTGGGGGGGCTGCGGCTGGTGCCCTCGGTGTGGGCTCAGCCCCAGGGCCAGGGGAACCTGCGAGGGACACCGAGGCCCTAGCCCGGTGGCTGCGGCCAGAGCCGACCCAGAGTGGGACCCCACCCTCCCGCCGAGGCAGCGAGTCCGTTCCGTGTCTGGCGGGCGCCGGCTGATGGGGCCTCAGGGCGGGGGCAGCGCAGCAGCTGGTGTGCTGGGCACCGGGACCGGGCAGTGTCTGACCACCGGGGCGGCAGGCCGGGGGGCGGCGGGCCGGGCGGCGGCGTCTGAGCTGAGGTGGGAGTGGGGAGCGAGCGTGCGGGGAAGAGCGTCGCAGGCAGAAGGAACAGCCTGCCCGGGGCCCTGAAGTCACGTCCACGTGCTGGAGCCCGAGGCCAGAGCGGCTGGAGTGGGCCCGGGTGCCCTGGGGACTCGGAGGGAGCTGGGCCAGCCCACAGAGGGCCTCGCTGGCCCAACTAAGGGCTCCTTCTGGAATGTTCTGAGCGAGGACAGCCTTGCCCTGACTTCCGTTGTAACAGAAACGCGTGGCGGCTGGGTTGGAAGTGGGCCGTGGGGGGACCCAGGAGCTGCTGGGCCCCCCTTGCCGCAGGATGGGGCGCAGTCGAGACACGGGCGCGTCCGGAAGGCCCTCGCGGTTCCGTCTGAAGAGCTGCAGGAGCGGGGTAGCCGGCCAAGCCTCAGACATCTGTCCGTCTGTCTGTCGCCTGTCCATCTGAGTGAGAGGTGGGGCAGGACTGGGCGGAGCCTTCCGGAGCCCCAGGAGGGCTGCTGTGCACCTGGAGTCGGCAGGTTTTCGGCCTTGACGCTCCGCAGGGAGATCGCGGAGTGAGGTCGGAGGGCTGGGCCCTGAGACCGTGGGCCACCGGGAGGCCGCGGAGGAGCCCGCAGGAGCCCAGAGGACGGTCATGGCCGCAGAACGGGGTCATCGCCGAGTCGCCCGGGGCCCCAAGCCCGAGGCCAGGCAGGCCCGGGAGGGAGCCCGGGTTCACCTGGCACTGGGAGCCACGGGGAGGTTGCAGGGTCTGCACCGGGAGCAGCTGGGCTTTCGCGCATGCCCAGCACCCAGATGCGGTGCCGCGCAGTGGCGCCGGGAGCAGTGGCGGGGGCCCCGCCCACCAGGACGGCGCCGCACTGTCCCGCTCCTGCGGTTACTGCGGTGGGGCGGCGGGGCGAGCCCCTCGGGTGCCCTCCCTGCCCCCCGTCCTCTCGCACAAGAACAAGGGAAGACACCGCAGAGGGAAAGAGAGACTGGACGTCCCCCCAGAAGTAAGGCTTCTCTGTGTGCTGCACACTGAGAAAATCTCCGCTCCGAGCAAGATGGTCAGTCACACAGCCGCGAGGAGGTGACCCTGCAAACTGTCTCCATCAACAACAACTCTGAAAATCTGTTAAGAAAAAGATGGTCCCATAGGCCCTGGCTGGCGTAGCTCAGTGGATTGAGCACGGGCTGCGAACCAAAGTGTCGCGGGTTCGATTCCCAGTCAGGGCACATGCCTGGGTTGCAGGCCACGGCCCCCAGCAACCGCACATTGATGTTTCTCTCGTTCTCTCTTTCTCCTTCCCTTCCCTCTCTAAAAATAAATAAATAAAATCTAAAAAGAAAAAGAAAAAGAAAAAGATAGTCCCAATAAAAAAATGTTGGCCAAGAATACAAATTGGGGAATACACAGCAGTACAGATAAGTGTCCAGTAAACATAAACATTTCACTGACAATAAAAATATCAAAATAAAACAATGAGATACCAAAATTTATTTAATTGATTAGCAGAAAATAAAGGTTTTTTTAACATCCCTGCGGGTGACTTTATTCCGACGCCCCACTCAGTCGCCTGGGAGGGTTCCGGAAGCATCTTTTTACATCACGTTCGGGGAAGTGAGGCCCGCGCCCACCCGCCAGCTGCCCCCCCACTGCTGTGCGGCAGCAGGTGTCCTGTCTCCTCGTCTCCGAGGTGCGGTCACCTGTGTGAGCGGGCGACGCGTGGCCCACGGTCACAAACCCCTCCCCGGTCCGCAGCGTGCGGGGGCAACCCAGCGTCCCCCTGCGAGGGGCCGCCTCCGTCTGGCTTGCCTGTCTGACCAGCCCTCACTGCCCCTCTCCTTGCTTGTCACTCGGGTTTTTCGGTGGTGATGGGGGGGTAGTATTTTTTAAATCATTCATCTGACACCTTTCGTAGGAGCTCGCTCTTTTTTCATTGTGGTCAAACACACACGTAAGATTTACCACTTTAACCGCGGTGTCCGGCTCAGTGGTGTTGGGCACGTTCGCACATGGCCCCTGGGACTCTGCATCTCCCCACGGGACACCCCGTCCCCTCGTCCCCATCCCCGTCAAACAGTGACTCTTCAGCCCCTGCCCCACCCTTGGCAAGGGCCATCTTTGTTTCTTTCAAAGCTTTTATTTATTTATTTTTAGAGAGGGGAAGGAAAGAAAAGAAAGAAAGAAAGAAAGAAAGAAAGAAAGAAAGAAAGAAAGAAAGAAAGAAAGAAAGAAAGGAAAGGAAAGGAAAAGAAAGGAAAAGAAAAGAAAAGAAAAGAAAGAAAAGGAAAGGAAAAAGAAAAGAAAAGAAAAGAGAAAAGAAAAGAAAGAAAAACATCCATGTGTGGTTGCCTCTCACAGGTCCCCTGTTGGGGACCCGGCTGGTAACCCAGGCATGGGCCCTGACTGGGAATCAAACCGGCAACCTTTCGCTTCGCAGGCCTGCACTCAGTCCACTGAGCCATGCCAGCCAGGGCTCTGGCTGTTCTTCTGTCCTTGGAGGTTGGCTCCCCGGGACTGCGTGTGAGTGGACTCACACAGTGCCGGCCCTGCCGCGTCGTTCCTTTTACTGCCCGGTCGTTTTCTGTGTGTTCCTGTCCTTGCCCCCACCTGCCGTCACTCAGGAGAACCTGTGGGACTGGGCCCTGGCCCGGGAGGGGCGCCAGCAGGGCTGGTCCCCCGCAGGTCGGGCGCCGGCCCCCGCGCCCTTGCTCTGAGTGCCAGGCCTCGGGGGCCCCGAGCGAGCGCCCGGAGGCATTGGCCTCGGCCCCCACCCAGCCCGTCTGTCTTCCAGACTCTGAGCCCCCAGAAGCAGGCGTTCATTCTGGAGGTGCTGTCCGGCTGCATTGAGTACCGGAAGCTGCTGGCCGTCGTGGTGGATGCCTTCTACGTGCGGGACGGCCGGCTGTGCCTGCGGGCTGACTACCACCTCTTCCAGGGTAGGTGCCCGCCCGCCCCCGGGCAGGTAGGCCCTGCCTCCGAGAGCCATGCAGACAGACCCACTGCCGCAGCCACCTGGTGGACACGGCCGCGGGCGGCGCCCCTCCAGCCCCTGCACGCTGCCTGCTCCGGGCTGCCACCCGGGCGTGGACTGTGGACGGGGTCCACCGCAGGGCCCTGGGCACAGGCTGTAGGTGGGCACGCTGCAGGCCAGGCCCCAGGGCCCAGACCCGAAGGGTGAGAGGGGAGCCCTGGGCCTGGCCTTCCTGCAAGTGGCCTGCTTTCCTGGGGTGTGGGGGCCGCTGTGTCTGGGCGCCACTGCCTAGGAAGGGAGGGCTGGTGACGGCAGGTGCTCGGAGGCTGAGCTGGGTAGCCTACTGCCTGGTGCAGTGCTGGGCTCCTGGTCCCGGGGTCCCCTTGCTGCTCGTCCGCTCAGGCCCCAGGGCCAACAGTGCCTCATGGGTGGGCCCCAGGCCTGACGGACAGCTGACAAGCCCTCGCCTCCCCCGACCCCCGCCTCACTCAGAAGGTCGAGTCCCAGCTGGCTTGCAGCAGGCAGTGCGGTCTCTCAGAATTAGCAAACGAAACCCAGAGTGATTTTTACTTTTACCGGGGAGCCTTTGGAATTTCCGAGAGCTCTCTGAGGGAGATAACGGGGAGAAGGGCCCCAGGGTGTCCCACCGGCTGGGACAGCGCCTTCAGTCCTGACGTGTCACGGTTACGGCCTGAGGGTGCCGCACCGACTCCCCGAGGCCAGATCCCGGCGTCGTCCCCTCCGCGCGGGGGCGGGGGGCTCCTCCCCCTCCCCCACCCGCGCCCGCCTGTCTCCTCAGTGATCTGCTACCTGGCCACCTTCCAGCTGGAGGAGCTCGGCTTCCAGCTCTTCAGCGACATCGTCAAGTCCCAGCCCGCGGACAAGATGCGCAAGGTGGGCCACCGCCGGTTCCCCGCAGCCCCGAGGGCAGAGCTCCGTCCTCCCGGGCGCTGACCTCTCCCCTTCCCGGCTCGTTTTCACGAGAGAGAGAGAGAGAGAGAGAGAGAGAGGCCCTGCCCGGCTTGTTCTGTGTTGGGACAGGGGCTGGGGCCTGCGCCCGTCTCAGCTGCCAGAGAGCCCCTCGCCCCTCGTGGGGCCCCAGAGGCCTGTGTGTGGGTGTGCGCCTCCAGCCCCCAGGGGTGGCAGGGCTCCCTGGGCAACCGAAAGGGACCCCAGGTCTCCTGAGGGCCAGCAGCTTGGAAACGGCCTTTGGGAGCCCCGGCTGCCCAGCACCACCCCCAGGCCCCACGGTCTGCCCAGGGGAGGCAGCGTCAGCTCCAGCGCGGGGACCCGCTGCCCAGGAGAGGGGCTGGTGGGCAGTTCACGTCCCCAGGGACCCCGTGCCCCGTGCTGCGCTGGGCTGGGCGGTAGAGGCCGGGCTGTAGAAAAGGGAGCTGGTCCATCCTCGGGGTTCCTGAGCCCATGGGGTGGGACGGGGCGGGCAGGCAGCTGTCTGCCTGTTCCCACCACGAGCTCTCTGGGAGTGGGGTGGAGGCCTCCAGGCTCCAGGGTCTGGCCGGAGCAGGGGTCCCCGCAGGGAGGACAAGCCCGCTGGGCTGCCCCGAGGCCCAGATCCTGTGAGCAGAAGCCCTTCTGGTGAGGGGCAGTCCTCCCAGAACGGCCCCCCAGCCCAGCATGAGGGGCAGTGAGCAGAGGCCGGCCCCTTTCCTGTCCCCAGGGAGGGAGGTCCGTCCTGAAGAGCCTCCTGAGGCCGTGGGCACTGGTCCCCGCCCCCCGCACACCAGCCCCACCTGCCCCAGGCTCCGACTCCCCGCAGGGGGCGCGAGCTCTCGGCTGAGCCCCCACCTCCACCCCCTCAGTTCCTCGGGTTCTTCTTCAACCCCTTAAACCTGTGCTCGTGGATCAAGGACGAGTGGAGCCTCGTCTACGAGACGGCCCACGTGACGGACTGGACGGATCCCCTGCTGAGGTGGGCCGGCGCCGGGCCCCCTCCCTGCTCACGGGGCCCCGCGGGGGTGAGGGGGCCCGAGAAGCCGTGACCCGCGTGCCAGAGCGTGAGGCCTGGGGGCCCAGACTGACCCCCACGGCGGGCGGCCGGCTGGTGGCCAGGGCGGTTCTGGGGCCGTCCGAGTCTGTGGGGTGAGCGCGGCCCCTCTGCTCTGGAGCCCACCGCTGACTCGGGGACGGCGACTGTGGCCCCAGCCTTGCGGGCCCTGCAGGGGCCTGTGGGGCTTGGCCTGGCCGCCTCCCGCAAACCCCGGGGGTGGGGAGCTCCCGGTGGATTCTGGCCTACATGCCCGTCTGGTGTCCCCCAGGACACCACTCCTGGGCCTGTCACCCCGAAGCGGCCTCCCTGCCTCTGCCGGCAGGCGCGGGCAAGCCCTGGAATCCCTGGTGCCGCAGCAGGACCAGCGCGGTGGCCTGGCCTCACCCTCGGCCTCCCTGGAGAGGCAGCTCGGGCCAAGGGCTGCTGCCCCAGCTGCTTGCCTCGGATAGGACCAGGGGACCCGCTGTCTTCCTGGGGACAGACAGATGGACTGTTCTTGCACGGGCAAGAGAGTGGGAGGCTCAGGGAAGGTGGCCGTCCCGAGGGGGAGGAGGCCTGGCCCAGGCAGGCGCTGCGTCTTCGCCCGCGTCCTTGTGGGATGAGGAGCCCGGCCAGGCCGGACGCGCTGCCTGCCCTCGGGGACGCGCTGCCTGCCCTCGGGGAGCTCGCCGTGGCCTGGACCTGCCGGCCCGCGAGCTCCCTCCCTCCGGGCAGCTGCTCAGCTGCTTCTGGGGTGCCTGCCTCCCGCCCCACCACGGCCCACGAGCGGTCTGCCCTGGCCTGCCCTGGGACCAGGGCCGCCCCAGACCTGTCCCTGCCCACGCCCTGTTGGCCCTCGCACATGCCCTTCCCCCTCCGGTGGCCCTGCGTCCCCCTCAGGGGCAGGGGCTGTTTCAATCCTTGTGGTCGCCCCCCCAGGAGGGAACATGGAGGGGTGTGGGGGCATGAAGGGGGCCCCGATCTGGGACCCAGCTGGACCCTTCCCCAACCCCTACTCCGGGGTGCCCCCCCAAGCTGTCCCCCGCCCCACCCTCCCACCTGCCCCACCCCTGCCCACCGCCAGCCATTCGGGGCTGCTCTTCCTCTCCACCCGCCTCCGTCCCCTGGGCCAGCTGCTGGGGCCCAGGCCAGCGCCACGCCCCAGCTGCCCCTGCTCTGCAGAGCCCTCGGGTTCCGGCAGAGGGGTCTGCCCGGTCTCCGAGCTCCCCGCCCCCACTCGCCCAGGACAGGGCAGCCGTGGGCCTCAGCGTCCTTCCCCGCACGGGGAAGCGTGGGTCTGTGTGGCGCTGGGGGGGTGGCGGGGGCAGCTCCCGCACGGCAGCGGCACCCAGTGCACGGTGGCTCCACTGTCACCCCCACCCTGAGGTGGGCCCCAGCTCCCGGGGGTCCCTCGGAGACCAAGGGCCGTCCCCTTGACGACCCGCTTAGAAAGAAACCCCCAGCGGTTCCTCCCACCTTTGCCCCCAAGATGGCAGCCGGAGGTCCAGGAGCTGATCAGCCAGCTGGAGGGCCCGTCGACCAGTCGGCCCCCTCCTTCAAAGGCCACGGTCACAAAGCCCAAGAGCTTCAACCTGACTGTCCCCAGACCCCGTGCCATTCCAGTGCCCGAGCCTGTCCCTGTCATGGCCAAGGCAACACCAGTAAGTGCCGGCATTTGCAGTGGGCACAGGCTGTCCAGGCCGGGAGAGTGGACCCTGTGGGCCAGCGGTGGGGCTGGCCCGGGCCAGGGCGGGAGCATTCGACGACCCCGCCCCACAGAGAAGGGAGCTCAGCTAGCCCGGACCCTGCACCGTGGGTCACCGCACTCCACACGCTGCGGTCTGGTCAGTAGACGTGGGGCGAGCCCGCTGGACTCGGTGCTCGGAGCCCACTCTGGGCCCTGCTGCTGTGGACCACTGCCTCCCGTGGCCCAGGCAGAGCGCCAAGTGCCCACAGGGGTCAGGGGAGTGTTCCTTGCCCTTTAGTGGACATTGTCAGCTTGGTGGGGCTGGGGGTCCTTTCCTCTGGACCGCAGGCAGGTGGTAATGTCTCTCTGTGTGACCCCGGTCACATGGCCTGTCCCCACCGCACAGCCTCTGCCCAGAACCCCTCCCCCTCCCTCTCCCTGCCTTGCTGACTCCTGTCATTCAGGATGCGTTGTGTTGCAAGTAACAGAAAAAAGCTGCTCAGCTTTGCTCAGATATTCATGGCCGCAATGGGGTAGGTTTCAGGCATAGTTTGATCAGGGTTCCAGCTTCAGCTCTCTTGACCGTCTCTGCCCTAGTCCCCTCCGTGGGTCTACATCCTCTTCGGGCTCGCCGCTCTCATTGCAGCGCAACGCCCAGGTTCCCCACCCACACTGCACAGTGTCCAGGCAGGAGAGCACAGCTCAGGCCCAGAGCTCCGTAAAAGCACAATCAGATCTGCTTCTGTCGCGTGCCTCCCCTCGGGGAGCTGCCCCCCACACAGAGGGCATGGTGCTCTGGCCCGTCACGGACTCTGTGCTGGGCACCGCCGGTGAGCTCGGCTCCCCAGAGTCCACCTTGCTCCCCTGCAGAACTGAGGGCTGTCGGGAGAGGCATGGGGTGCTGCTGGAGGGCCCTGGGCCCCCGCCTCCCCCAGCCTCCCCAGGACTCAGTACAGCCCCACCAGAGAGACGTTCCGTGAGGCCCTCCCCTGGACGGGCCCCTCGCTTCCTGTCCTTCTCGTGAACCCCGGCTCCATTGCTTCGGGGCGCCAGTCAGGTTTTGCAGCTGTTTGGTAGCTCGTGGGTCTCTGTTACTAGACCTTGTCCATCCACTCTGTCCCAAGGCCTGGCTCAGCCTCGGTCCGGGCAGGACTGCATCAGACACCTGCTGGGCGGGTGAACGGGCGGCCTCACCTGCCGCTCCGGCCACTGAGGGGTGGCTGCTCCGTGTCCACCCCCTGCCCAGCCAGGCAGTAGTCCTCCACCTATCCCTCCAATGTCCAGTGGCTCGGGCCCTGCATTTGGCCACCCTCCTTCCTGCTGTCGGCCTGAAGTCCTTCCCTCCCCCTGGTGACGGCCAACACCCCACAGGTCCCAGCTGTAGCTAAGGCATCCCTTCCAGCCTCCGTTGGCTCCAGGGCCGTGGCCTGCCCCTCACCCCTGGGCCACTGGTGATGTGGGCTCCTCCCTCCACCACCCACAGGCCCCCCAGAGCACCTACCAGCCACCCAAGGAGCCAAAGGTGCTGGAGATGACCAAGAGATACAACCGCCGGAGGGCGGAGGTGAGCGGCAAACGGGACCTGGCCTCCCAGGGACAGTGGGAAAGGGGAGGAAGAGGAGGCGTCTGGGCCTCCACACCCACCCCCGACCCCAGGACAGAGGGCGGGGGGAGCCTGGGAGGCTGAGCCTCTCGCTGCCTGCAGGAGCTGCTGCTGCTGGCGAACCTGGAGGAGATGCGGTGCGCAGCGCCCAGGGCCCGCAGGGAGGCCCCCGCGCAGGTGACACCCTGCCCTCCGCGCCAGCAGGTCCTGGGGGGGCGTCTGCAGAGGCCTGGGGGAGCGGCCACACACGAGCCCCTGGGTGGCCTTCTCGTCTGGAGCGTGGGGTCCAGGCCCCCGGGGCCGGGGCTGGGGCCAGGCCAGCGGCAGCCCTGCTGAGGGCGGTGTGGACGCAGGTCCAGAAGCGCCTTGGGAAGTCTCCGGCCAGTCCCTCTGGGGGGTTTCCGGATCTCCACGCTCCGCATTCACGATTTCTGTGAGAAAAAAGCCCAGGGGGTGTTCGGAGAAGTGACGGGCGCAGGACAAGGAAGGCTGGTTGCCCTGGACGCCTCGTGGGTGCCGGCCCAGCCCCTGCCTGCCTCCCACCGGGGCCCCCGCAGTTGGGGCCAGTGGGGGCACAGGCACCCAGCCTAGCAGCATGCCGGAGGGGGGAAGGGGTGGCCGAGGTCCCGTGGGGGGCACCTCTGCCAGTGGCTCTCCACAGCGGTACTTGTGGCGCCCACCCTGGGGGAGCAAACAGATTCGGGGAGCAGCCCACCACAGGTCACGGGGTCAGCCCGGGGGGCAGCTGGGTAGTGGGACCCTGAGCTAGAGGCTGAGCCCTCCTGACCAGGACCTGCTCTCCCCAGCCTGGTAGGCCCTGTCCTCTCCCTGCCCCCTGCCCCCCGTGCAGCCCAGTGCCCCCCAAGGTTTGTGGGTACATCACAGCACAGGGGCCCTGCCCTGGGGGGACCCGTGTGCAGGGTGGGCCTCCCAGAGTGCATTCCGGGCACCTGGTGGGCTCGGTGCCAGGACCCGACCCCCGCAGGGCTCCAGGAAGCTGCGACTCCGGTTCCTGCCCCGGATCCATAAGACTCCGAAACTGACCTTCTACAGGGTGAGGGGTGCTCCTGAGTGGTCAGCGTGGGCGCAGGGTGTCCTGGGGCCCCCACTTCCCGGCCTGCTCTGCCCCCAGGGCCAGGTGGCCAGAGCGCCGCCCATACGGGAGAGGGAAGTCCCCGGGCAGGCGCGGATGTGGCGGGCAGAGGGCGGGGCCGTCCCTGCTCCCGGGGCACCGCCTCCCCCCGCCCTGCCCCAGCCAGCCTCTCATCCTCCTCCTCCGCAGCCGAACGAGGTCCCGGTCAAGCTGAACACGGCCACCATTCTGCGGGAAGGGGCCTTGTACCAGCGGCAGGTGGAGAAGGAGCTGCAGAGGTCGGGGGAACGGGACCGGGCTGGCGGGCGGGGTGCGGGGAGGGCCTGGCGGCTGCGGTCCTGCAGGCTGGGCGGCCTCCCGCAGGTGGGGTTGGGGTCCCAGCTGCACCCCGGAAAGACCCCCTCGGCTCCGTGAGGGGGTCAGACAGGGTAGGAGTGGGCTCAGCGGTCGCTGGCCACCCCCCCCACACCTCCCTCGATGGTGGGCACCTCCTCGGGCCGCATCCTGGGCCCTGAGATGCCCCGTGCTTGCTCCCTGAGCTGGGCACTGGGCGGGAGCTGGGGTGGCTGACCGGATGAATGAGAGACAGAGCGAGGGACAGAGGGGCGGAGCGTGGGCAGAGGGGTGGGCGGGGCGACGGCGGTGGACACAGGGGTGTGCGGACGAGTGGAAGGAGGGAGGGTGGGAAGCTGTGGGTGAAGGGTGGCCGGGGCAGGCAAGCACGTGGGGGGGGGCGACGTGGCCGCTCGGGCACAGGGCAGCCCGCGCCCGTGAGTTCAGTGTCCACAGGGGACCCCGAGGCCTCCTGGAGGCCCCCGCGGGCCCCATCCCAGGAGGAACTTCAGCCGCCTTGCCCCTCTCGTTCAGAGTGGACAAGCTCGTGGACGGGGCCGGGGACTTCTCGGAGTTCCTGGAGTGGCAGAGGAAGATGCAGGCCAGGGACCGGCAGGAGCAGCGGGCCGCGGAGGAGTGCCGGCGGCTGCAGGGGAAGCTCAGCCACGAGGAGGCGGCGCTGGCCCGGCAGCAGCTCCTGCGGGAGAACCGGCACCGGGCCACCCAGAAGAGAGAGGAGGTGACCGGTTTGGAGGACGCTGGGGGCCCGTCTGGCCCCCAGGGGCTGTGGGGCTGCAGGGCTGCGGGGCGAACCCAGTGGCTCTGACTCAGTTTTCCCAGGACTCTGGGCTGCGCCCCCAGCTTCATCACCACCAGATCTGGGCGGGCGGGGCGAGGGTCCGGGCCGGCACCTCAGGAACACGCGGGGGGGGGGGGCCAGAGGACATGACATGGGTCTCCACAGGGCCTGGCCTCCAGAGGCTCACGAGCTTCGGCCCGGTGCCAGGCTGATTTGGGGTCTGTGGCTGGCTCTACCCTCCAGACCTCATGCTGCTCCCAGGGCTGGGGCAGGGCGGGGTGGGGGAGGGGACACAGGTGTGCTGGGGGGCCTCCTGGAGCCCGCCCTGATGGTGGCAGGTCACCGCCCCGGCAGATGGCTGAGCTCATGCGGCAGTGTGCCCAGAGGCGCCTCCAGGAGGAGAAGTCCCTGAAGGAGCTGGTGGAGCAGGTGGCCGAGGGGCAGAAGAACGTCCAGGTGGCACAGATGAAGCTCCTGAAGGGCCGGCGGCAGGCAGGTATGGCGGAGGCCAGGTGCGCCAGGTTAGTGAGGGCCCCGGGGGGCCCTGAGGCAAGGCTCTCCTGCTGTCCCCCCAAGCCCCCAGCACCCCCCTTGGCCCCAAGTCCAGGAGGTGGCCGAGGAGAACCGGGTGCTGCTGCAGCGCCGTGCGGAGGAGGCCAAGGAGGAGCAGCGGCGGCGCTGCGAGCTCATCAACCAGCTCCGGGCCCTGGAGTCCCAGCCCACGCGCCAGGGCAAGCTCGTGGACCTGACCCAGGTGAGCGCACGGCCCCCGGGGAGGCCCCCACGTCTTACCCGGTGTGCGGTGTTGCCACAGGAGGGCATGCCCAGGGCGCCCGCCTCAACTCCGCCTGGCCCCCCGCGCCCAGATGCAGGCCCCGCACTGCCGTGCCGCAGGGCTGGGGCTGGCCTCAGAGGTTGCGCTTCTGTCGGGGAGAACGTGGCAACCCCTAGCGGCAGGAGGGGCTAAGGCTCCTGGGGCTGGACGGGGTGGGCTTTGCCTTGCTGTGTGTCCAGGGGGGTCCGGGGCCGCCAAGGCGGGAAGGGCAGTGTAGGGAGAGCACAGTGCGTGGCGGCCAGAGGCTGGATGGGCGGCAGCTGAGTCTGGGCACCAGAGCCCGGAAGCCCGTGCGGGAAGCGCCGCGACAGGCCGGCCGGCCCAGCGCGGCGGGGGCAGGCCTGGTCCCGGGGGCTGGGGAGGGGGCGTCCTGAGTGCTCTGTGTCCAGGCCCAGCCCTGGCTCCGTCTGGGTCCTGGGCTGCAGGGGCTTGGGCTGGAGAAGCTGGATGGCGGGAGTGTCACACAGACACCGCCGGGTAGAGGGCAGGTGCGGGCCTGGGGGCCTGGCCAGGCCCATGGACGGTGGGAGGGGCACCAGTGCTGCACCCCAGGACGGCCGGGGCCCAGGAGACGGCTGCTGGGCTGGACGTGCGCCAAGGCGCGGGCTGCCAGCCTGGGGCCTCCCCGCTCCCCCTAGACCCCCGGGCACGGCCTGCAAGGGGAGATGTCCATCGTGGAGCTGCGTGAGCGGCTGGCCCTGCTCAAGGAGGCCCAGCAGCGGGAGGAGGAGGAGCGGCGGGACCAGATCATCCAGGACAAGCGCGCCAAGAGCCAGGAGCTGCAGAACGCGCTGGAGCAGATCTCGCTGTGCCGCGCCGCCATGGGGCGGTCTGCGGCCTTGAGGTCGGTGCCCTCCGCAGCCTCGGGGTCCTCCTCACCACACCCCCCCGCCGCCCAGGCAGCGCCCCCGCCCCTGCTGTTTTCACCAGCGGCCCTCGGGCGTTCGGGGAAGGTGAACCATCGTGCAGACGTGGCTGGATGCCCACGACCTAGATCCGGCCATCCTGCCTCTGGGTCGCGGGTGCGGCCGTGGCCGCGTGCTTCCTCTCACCAGCCAGCTCATCCTCCCCCGCCGAGCCGCCGTCCGGGGGTGGCTGCGCGCACCTGACACTGTCCTGAGCGGCTGGTGCGCGTCTTCTGAGAGAAGACACACTGTCCCGCGTGAGCACACAGCGCGCGACAGAGCAGAAAGTCTGGCAGAAATTCCTGACAGCGCGAGCACCATCCTGTTCCCACGCTTCTCCAGGGCCCTAAGGCTGTCTGCTGTAACTTTTTTTTTTCTTTTGAGACCAGCACCTAGTGGGGGCTCACGCAGCGTCGGACGGTCCGGCGTCTCCACACCGCTCTCACGGGCAGTTCGTTTGTTCGGGGAACACAGCGGCGACTTTCCCGGCCGTGTGTGGCGGCTGGGTCAGGCAGAGGCCGGTGTCAGCCTCCAGGGCTGGGCAGGCCTGTGGGCCCCGGCCTGATCCTTCCGGGAGGCGGGGAGGTCGGGAGGCACCCAGGGCTCCAGAGAAAGTGTCCGAGTGTGATGGGGGGGGGGCGGACAGAGAAGGGACAGTCACAAAACCCAGCACCATCGGTCCTGAGTGTCTGCTCTCCGGTTACGTATGCTTCAGAGGCGGCCTCGACAACTCCGAGGGTCCCCACGGTGGCTTGCCCCTGGGAGACCTCACCACGTCCCAGGTGCCCGACAGACCCCAAACCCAATCTGGGTGGTGTCGGGAGCCTCAGAGGCTCCCGACCCCCCACCAACGCCCCTGGAGCTCCTGCACAGAGCTAGAGCCCATGGCATTCACGCACGAGGAGCGGTTTGGTGGGCGCTGGGGCTGCAGTCAGCCGGGCAGCTGGTGGCCCGGGAACCGCACCTGCAATGCCTTGGGCTGTGATGCGCACCTGAGGAGAGGGCAGCTGGGAACAGCCGGTATCCTGGCCTCCTTTCGGAAGGAAAACGGCTTAGCTTGGGGGAGGTGTGCCAAGACAGCAGTGTCAACAGAGGCTACTTCCAGGCGAGAGAGCGGGGCGGGGAGGGAGCGCAAGGTAAAAGGGGGCCTTCACTCATCACCCCAAACGCACCTCGTTAATACAGACGGAATGCTTTCTTAAAATGTTAAGTACAGAGAACAAACAGGTAGCGGCGCCGGGAAGCCCCACCAGAGAGGCCCTGGAAGGGTTACCCCGCTCCAGGCCACCTAAATCACTCCCCTCGCTTGTGGTCGGGGCCCCCTCCCAAGCTCAGCCTGTCGCCCGTGCAGGTGGGAGGAGAAAAAAGCAGCGGCCCCGGCGGCGCCCTCGCAGGACGAGCGCGTGCAGGAGCTGCAGCGCAGGATCGAAGAGAGGGCGGCTGAGCGGCGCAGTCGGGCGGCCGAGCAGTACGTGCCGGCGTCCAGGGCCGAGCGCCTCAAGCCGCAGGTGAGCCAGGACTGGTGGGGGACTGGGCGGGGCTGGGCTGGGCGGGCCGCGGTGGGCAGCGGGGTAGACGCCCCCGCCTACACCAACCCTCCCCGCCCACCCACCGGCAGCCGGTGGAGCTGAAGGCGCAGCACTGGCTGGAGCTGGAGCAGAGCCATGAGCGCAGGCTGCGGGCGAGGCAGCGGAGAGGCTCGGCCTGTGGGCCGGCGCGCCGCCTGCAGGCCGCCTGAGCTGCGCGGGCACATCCCTGGACCCCGAGGCCCTGGCCGAGTAAAGAGAGCGGCCTGCCTCGCGCGTCCTTGGCCGTCCCCCCCCACCACCCAGTCCCTCCACCCGCGCCCCAGTCCCCACCTGCCCAGAGCAGCGTTGTCAGATAAAATGCAGGACGCCAGATTGAGACAAATTTACGCCAAGAGAGTATCCGCTCTTTATTTGGAATCCCAACGGACCTGGCCCCGGGGATTTTATGTGCTACGTATGACCCCCTAGCCCTTCCCCACGCCCAGCATTGGAGGCCCCTCTTCTGAGGTCCCAGAGCCCCTTCTGCGTGTGGAAACCTGGAGCCCCCACTCTCCACCCGGAGTCCCCTGGTTTAACCTGGGGGCCCCCAAGACTGGGTGTGTGTGGGTGTGTGTGTTTGGTCGGAGAAGTGGCCAGGATCCTTGAGCCAGTAGGAACCGGCCCTTCTCATGCCACATCTCATGAAAACCTAACAGCGATGAGTGGGGGGCAGGGGGCAGTGAGGATGGCAAAGGAACTGTCCCTGCCCCCATTCTGCTGGTGGTCAGAGGTGAGGTGACATGGCCCCAGAGCCAGAACCCAAAGCTGAGCCTGGGGACCTTAGAGCATTGCCCGGCCTCCTCCAGTCACCAAGAGAACAAGGTTGGGCCACTAGGCACAAGCCTGCCCAGGGCCAGACAGGGAGGGGTTTGCTCTCCTGGGCCTTGGGGCCCAGCACCAGGCTGGAGAGGGTGTGGCCTTGGGTTGACAGGCTGGCTGCGCTGCCACTCCTAGGAAGAAGGGACGGTAAAGGAAAGGCTGAAAACTGCCAGGTTGGGTAGATGTCCAGGAGGAAGGTCCCCTCCCCCAACCCACCTGGGTCTTCAGAGAAGATGGCGTCTCGGAGGCTGGGCCCCAGGGCACGCTCTGGTCAGGAAGGTAGGTATCTCGGAGTGACAAGAACAGAAGGATCGGAGTTCTCCCCCAATATTCTGAACGGCATTAGAACCCCAGGATTTCCCCACAATCCAGGCTGGTGAAAAGAGGAATTTCCCACCCCCTGTCAAATAAGAGCTGGGAGCAAATTAAATATCATTCAGAAAAATAAATGTGACATTTCTGATACACCATGTTGTGTTTCAAACCCATTTCCTTTGTTATCAAGGGACTACAGTGATGAGACCTGTCCGACAGTTGCTCGGGAGCTCCAAGGGATCCACAAAGGGTTTTATTAGCTCCCAGAACTGGTGCTCCAAATGTAGGGTGGGCTTCAGGACCTGCCTGATCCAGGAGCACTGCCTCCACACGGATAGCAGCTCCAGCCTCACCCTGTCTGCACAGAGACAGGCCTGCCCTTCCCGGTGCTTTAGGAGGGAAGCCTCTTGTGTCCTTGAAGCCTTGGGTGAACATCGATCACAGTGTCACTAGCCTGAATTGAACATGCTGTCCAGGCCAGTTCCTGCAGTGGGCATGGGTGCCCAAAGCATGGGTGGCAAGAGGGGAGAGGCAGGAGCCCCACAAATTCGGGTACTGCTGACGGTGGTGGTTGGCAGACCACAAGGCCCCTACCTGCCCCCTGAACTGGCCCGCTGCCCAGAGACGCTGAGAGAGCTCCCGGGGCGTCTGCTCCATACACACCTTGGTGGGAGCAGGTCCCCAGCCATCCCTAGGGTGTGGACGGTAGATGGATGCAAAATGTCTGCCTGCATCCACGTTTCTTGTCCTGTGACCACCCATCAAGAGGCAGAGCCTGCTTCCCCCAGCCCTGGACTTGCTTTGGCCAGCGGGATGCAGCCGAAGTGGCGGTGTGGCAGCTTAGAGCCCGGGCCACCAGTGGCCCTGGAGCTCCGTCTCGCTCTCTTAGAACCCTGCCCACCCCAGTGTGAGCACGTCCTGGTGGCCTGCTGGGGCGAAGCCTGGAGCAGAGCCAGCTGTCCTCCCAGCCTGGGTCACCCTCCCCACCCCCCCGCAAACCAGCAGACCCCAACGTGTGAGCTCTGCCAGGACCCAAACCCGCCCCCAGAACTAACTCGTATTCCCGAGCAACAGGAAACCCGGGTTGCTGACATCACTGAGCCCCGTGGAGGCTGGTCCTGAAGCCACGGCGAGTGGGCACGCCTCCCCTCCCTGCTCCAGCCGCCAGCCACGGGGAGGAAGGTGCGGCTGGTGCCCAGGGGCCCCTCTCGGGACCACCCGGGAAGATGACACTCTGCTGTGGTGTATTTCCCGTGTGAGTGCCCCTGGAAAACCCTTGCTGACGACGTCTGCGACCCACTTGGGCGGCGGTCCTGGCTCCGCAGGTAATCGACGGGCAGGCTCTCGGGCCCCGGCGTGCGGCCCGGGCACCCGCACTCTGCTGCCTGGCACCGTGGGAGTGCAGGGGCACCGGTCTTGCCTCTACACCGCGGACTCCTGGGGTCAGAGGCACTTCTTGGGAGGGAGCCGGGGAGGCTTACATCACAAGCTCCGTGTCCCTCGAGCTCTGCAGAGGCCCGGGAGGCCGCTTTCGAGCACGAACGTGGTGTCTGTCGTGAGTCCGCTTCTCAACATCACATCTTTTTCTTTTTAAGATTTTATTTATTTTGAGAGAGAAGGGAAGGGAAGGGAGGGAGAAAGAGAGGGAAAGAAACATCATCGTGGGGTTGCCTCTCGCGGCCCGCCCCCCACTGGGGACCCGGCCCACAACCCAGGTGTGTGCCACAGTCGGGAATCGAACCGGAGACCCTTTGGTTCGCAGGCCAGCGCTCAGTCCTCTACGCCACACCAGCCAGGGCTCAGCATCACGTCTTCAATGTACGGAAGTTACAAATACAAAACCGTAGCTTTTCCTCGGGCTGTGAAATCCCAGTGACTAATCTGTGTATAAAGCTGGTCGTGTGTAGCTATCACTAAGATTGTTCACGTGTGATGGTGTGTAACCTGAAACTCCCTCTAGACATTCAAACTGCACTCACACATGTAGAATCTGAATTTATTTCTTTAGCATTTTAGTTGTCTGCCTTGTCAACTATTTTAGAATTCCTATAGATGAATTAAATGTCTCGGTTCCTCCGTTCCACTTGTCAATTATCTTTAATACTACTCCCCTTATGATCACAGGCTGTGGGAAATCTTACACCTTCCAACTTAAAACCACTATCAAAGTGAAGAACTCAACCCCATACTTCACAATGGAGTCAGATTGTTCTGACACTCGACCACGCCGAATTCCCTTCCAGTGGCAAAAACTATCAGACCCAGAGACTGCTCGTAAACTCAAGATAAAAACACGAATGCTCTGGTTTGGGTCTGCTTAGCCACGTCCAAACAGGACCCCGTCTTTTGGGTCCCACACCCCCTCTGAGGGAACTGTCCCTCCCAAGGCACGTTGCAGGGAGTGACCTCCTCGCTGCTTGGAGGTGCCTGGTGCCAGAGGTGATGGCCAAGGCCTGAGAACCGGGGATTCTTGGAACAGAAGGGGCTCATCGGCAGCCCCCACGCACAGGCAGGCCTGCCGCTGCGCTGCCGTGCGGTGCGGTGCGGGACCGAGTCCTCCAGCTCTCCGCCTTCCTCCTCCGCCCGTCGGTCCTGTATTATCCCCGTGGGACAGGTGAGGGAACGGTGAAATTCGCTTCAACAATGGAGCTGGGATTTGAACTCGGGAAGCAGGGATCCAAGACCTGCGCGCTCGTGACCTTTGGCGTTCCACTGGCGGCCCCAGGAACCCCCGAGAGCTCCAGGCTTCTGCGGGACCTCCGGGAGGCCCGGGCGAGAGCGCTCCCACCCCCTTGGGTTCAGTGCCCCCTTCCCTGACACCCTCGGCCCCGAGGATAATGCAGACTCTCGAGCTGGCACCTGGGCCAGGTTCCTGACCTCCGAGGTCCGAGCCTCGCCTCCTCCGCCCCCACGGCTCCCTACCTCTGTGCTCCCGGCACACCGGGCGGCCTTCGCTTTCCCGGACGCGCCAGCCCATCTCTCCCCACCCAGGCTCCCTCTTCCGGAACGCTCTTCGAGTCCTTTCAGATCCCAGCTCCGCAGGCGCTTCCCCCGGGTTCCCGCAGACGGGCCGGTCGGTGCTTCTCTCCTGTCTCCACCGCCAGCTGGGACAGGTGGTCTAGGACCCCGGGGACAGGGGCTGGCCCAGGGCCCGGCACGTCGCGGGGGCGCGGGCGCCCTGGAGGAGCTGCGGGTCCAGGCCCAGCTTCCCCGGGAACATTGCTCACAAGGGCCTCATTAAAAGAAACTGAGGCCGGGAGAGGGTCCGGGCGGGCGGGAGTCCGCGCCGCGGAGCGGCTAGCCTGCACCGACATCCGGCTCCGCGACGGCCGGCGGCCTCGTTATTCCGCGGACCACAACTCCCGAGAGGCCTTGCAGGCGAGCGAGAGGCGCCGGACGCGTCTCTCGCAAGGTGATTAGAGATGAATCTCGCGAGAGTAAGTGAGGCCGGAACAAGCCGGTTCAAAGTGGTAATAGACGGTGGTCTCACCCAATAGAATTGAAAATATACACTCTCGACCCAGTAAAACGCGGGAGTAGGCGCGGAGGCAGCCAATGGAAACGCCAGGTAGGCGGAGCTGAGGCCTCCGGAGCGGAAGTGGACTGCTGTTGAGGCGGCGGCGTCTGGCTGGAGTGCTTCTCCTCAGCAGCTTCCGAAGGTGCTTCCTGATTCGGACGCGTCGGCTGCGGCTCCTGCCAGACCAAACCTGCCCCAAGTAAAGCCAGGCTTCTCGGGGAGGGAGCAGCGGGCCCGGGCGGCAGATACCGGGTTCGGGTGGGTCCGCGGCCTGCAGAGGCCTGGGCGCTGCGGCCCGGGAGCCGCCTTGGTGCGGGCGACCCCGCTTGGGCCCTGACGCCAGGCCGGGCCTTCCCCGGGACCGCGGGGCCGGCTGATCCGCCCGCTGTCCGCGCGGCTGCACGAGCCCAGCTCGGTGCGGGCGACGAAAGTGGGGCTGCCTCCCCGTACGTCTCTGCTGCGCGGGCGGCCGCGCCCAGGAGCAGGAGCGGGGAAACTGAGGCTGCGAGGGGAAGGGATGGCCGCAAGGTCACTCGGAGAGTCGGGCGGGGCGGCCCAGGGAGAGGGGCGTCGGGCCGTTCGCGGGAGACCCGGGCCGGGTTTTTGTTCCTCGCTGACGCCGCCCCCTTTGTGTGCGCAGGCCGATCCCCCGCGCCTCCCCTGGGCTTGGAGGGGGCGGGGGCCCGCACTGGGGGCGCCCGGCTAGGGCCCGAGTTGGGTAAATCCCCAGCTTCCGGTCGTTGGCGGTCCGTGATTGCCGCGGCGCAGGCCCGCCCCCTGCGCGTCTGCAGACCGGTTCCTGAAGGTTAATCAGCGCCCGAACGCCGAGGCTGGAGACCCGAGACTGCGGGGGGACCGCCGCCTTCCCCCTTGGGCCCGGCGAGGGGCGGGGAGCGCTCTGGGCTGGGGCCCGCGGTGGCCCTTGGTGGGGTGGGGTGGGGTGGGTGTTAGGCTCTCCTTGATCGTGCCCACTGACGTCCCCGGGCACACCTTTGTTCCGCCTCTGCGCCCTTCCAGCCCCCGGAGCCAGGCTCGGGGTCGCCGCCTGCAGCCCCGGGGCCAGCTCGGGCCGCCCAAGGTCGCACGGCCGGCTGCAGCCTGCAGGACCCGGCCTTGGAGCTCAGTGACGAGGCGTTTGGGGACCTCTGGTAACGCAGGACTTTTCTTCCTTTTTTGTTTGTTATGGGGGCGGGGGAGGCGCACTGGCTTTGGTTTCATGTTTGAGGCTGAGGTGAAACGGGAACATTCGAGTAGCAAATTGGGTTGCAGGCATTTGAGCTCCCAACTCTGATGCAAAGACATTTTTTTTCTCTTTTTTTGCTCGCTTTAAGAATTACATTCTTTCATGTTCCAGTCAGCACATGTTTGAGGTCTCCTGGCGCCAAGCTTTCCGCTCAGGGTGCAGCCACGGACAGAGTAAGCCCGGCTCAGGCCCTGGGGGCCGGGCAGTGAGGGCAGAGGGGCGGGAGGAGATGCGGGAGGCGGAAACACAGGTTGCCAGGCTGTGGGGGGGTCAGTGGGAACCAGGTCGCAGAAGGTCTTTGGTGAGTGTCCCGGTGCAGGACTTCGGAGTTTATTTTAAGGCCACAAGGGACGTCACTAGACTGACACTTCTGAGCAGGGAAGTGACAGGCTGGATGGGTCCTGCAGAGGAGTCACTGGGCTGCGGGAAGGGGGCGAGGCCAGTGGCCCCGGGGCAGGCTGGGCGAGGGAAGAGTGGCCGGGGCCAGGCAGGTGGCGACCTGCTCTTCCCCGAAGGACTGTGGGCGACGCCCGCGCCCAACGGCGCCTCTGCCCCAGACCCCCGCTGGAGAAGGTGCGGGGTCTGTCCTGCGAGGCCGCGCCCAGGGCAGCTGGTCTGCGTGCCGGGTGAGAGGGGCCGGTGCGCCCTGAGTGTCGCTCCATCCGCCGTCTCTGTGAGACAGTTGGCTGCATCTGTCCCGGTCCCCAAGTTCGGAGCCTTCGGAGGACGCGGCAGGGCTGGCGCCCCGAGACGGGACACGTGTGCCCTCGCATGCTCTTCTGACCGGTCCTTTCTCGTCAGCGACTGCCCGGCGGGACTCGGGGAGTTCAGAGCGAGGCGCTGGGGGTCGTGCTCTGAGGAGGGAGGCCCGGAGCCCCAGTGCTCACGCAGGTGGAGTCCCTGTGCAGAGGGACCAGGGGTTGGCGTGGAGGCTGCGTTTCCTGGGGCCCGGACTTCCTCTGCCAGCGGAGTTTCCGGGGGTGGCTGGAATCGGCACGACGTGGAGAGCCACGTCCCACAGGTTGGGGGGAGCTGGAAAGGTGCCAGAGTGAGGGTCGCCCGTAGCCTGCTGAGCCCAAGAGAAACTGGGACCGGGGCGCTCCTTCCTGGAATATTCTTTCTAAACCGCACAGTCCCCTGGTGAACCCACGCGGGTACCTCCAGACAGCAAGTAAGTTTTGACGTGCGGGTGTACCTGACGTGCACAACGTTAAAATGGAAGAACGTCTGCTAACGGCCATTACTAACAGATCACGCGTCCCTGGTTTGGGGCTGTACCCACGGGTCCCCGTGGTGTCAGGAAGGGCATGCAGTTGTCTGGGTCTGGGTCTGGGTGTGATCTCGCGCATCGCTGGTGAGCAGCGTCCGCGGCGTTCCTTGGTCCTCGGCCACAGAGCAGCAGCCTGCCGGCAGGCTGCCAGGCATCATGCCCAGCGGTCCAGAAGCACGGGAGGTCCGCCGGCTGCTGCGCTCGGCCACACAGCTAACACACTGGCCCACCTGGCCTCTGGGCCCCCACTCCGGCGGCTGTCTTCCCTTTGCTGGGCCTGGGCGCTCGCGTTTCCCGGCGGTGGGAGAGTGTCAGCCGGTGTTTCCAGGAGCTCCAGGCAGTGAAGACAGCGCTTGAAATGGGGGAGGGGGGTGCTGTTTCGTTTCTGTTTCTTTTTCTTCTGAAGTGACATCTGTCCAGGGGAGGTGTGACTACAGGAATCCTCACGAAACCCAGGTTCCAGCCACTGCACGGTGTTGCTGGAGCCTGCTGCTCCCGAGGAGCCCCCGCCCAGCCAGGATGGGGGTCCCGGGGCGCGGACACTTCTCCGTCTGCAGGGCACCTGGCCTCTCATTTCGGCCGGCTCCTGCAGTTCTGCTGCAGAAGTTAAACTCTTCCGGCACCTTGTTTGATGCTTAACCGCCTTGTGGAGAAGTTCTCTACCCCCACCCCATCCATGATGACCGTCTGTCTGGGTCTCCCTTTCTGTCCCTGTGGTGACTGTTTGTACTTGGAGTATAAGCCTCCATCCCCCCGCCCCCCGAAAACACTGAGCCATCTCTTCTAATGAGCTTGGTAGTTTAATTTCATTGGGAAACATTGTTTTGCTGACCTGTCTGTGCCGAGGGCTGTGCTAAGAGTAGGGAATGCTGGGAAAACTGTTTGACCTCAAGCCCTGTCTGTCGTACTGAGTGAAGCAGGAGAAGCGGTTAAGTCAGGGCCAGTGGCGCTTGGAGGCCAGCCTTGGAGGGTGGGCAGGAGCTCCCCAGCGTGGGGTGGGGTGGGGTGGGGTGGGGGGCCTGGCAGCTGGCAGGGGTGCTGTGTCGGGAAAGCCTGGATGGAGTGGGGGGCGTGCCATCGGGGTGCCCGGAGTCGAGCGGTCGGTGCAGCTTCCCGTGCTTGTTGGGATGGGTGCGGCCCCGGGGCCTGGCGGGTCAGAGCGGTGGGAACGGGGACCCAGTCTGTGTGCCTGACGTCGTGTACGGGACGGCCAAGAAGTTCGCTTGGGTTTTCCCCGTGAGATGGCTCTGGTAGCACTCAGCCTTTAACGTCGTTCGAAACAGTCTTTTCAGACGGCATTGTGACGGCTGTCACGTCACTGTGCACTTCAGGAGTTACTGAAACGGGTGGGTCTTTGTGCAGCCGTTTTAATACTGCAGGTGGAAGAAAATACCCAACGTTTTTACCGTATTAGGCTTTCTTATTTCAAGAAAGGTAAAAACTGCCCTTGCTGGTGTGGCGCAGTGGATTGAGCACTGGCCTGTGAACCAAAGGGTTGCTGGTTCGATTCTCACTCAGGGCACATGTCTGGGTTGCGGGCCAGGTCCCCAGAGGGGGGCATGTGAGAGGCAACCACACACTGATGTTTCTCTCCACCCCTTCCCCTCTCTCTAAAAATAAATAAAATCTTTTTTTTAAAAAAAGGTAAAAACTGAAATGCAAAAAAAAAGATTTGTGCAGGGTGTGGAGAACGTGCTGCGACTGATTGGATGTGTCACAAGTGGTTTGCGAAGTTTCTTGGTGCTGTTGACATTTTGGTCAAATAACCCTTTGCTGTGGGGCTGTCTGGGCATTGGAAGATGTTCAGCAGCAGCACCCCGGCCTCCCCCCGTTAGAAGCCAATAGTGGGAGATAGCCGACATACGCAAAATATCCAGATCAGTAAAATTACTGGTGAAAGTGAAAAGCTTGTCTTTTATTTTATGGAAAAAACTAAACGGACTTTTCGGCCAGCCCAGTACTAGGTGAACACAAAACTGAGCTCTCCGCTGGGCCAAACCACGTGCTCCTTGCACTGTCCACACCTCAAACGCCCACCAGCCACCTCGATTGGTTGTGTGCTCTGGGCCACGCCCCTGCACACCTGGCGTCATGCTTCACCTGCTTGCCAGTGGTGCGCTCACTCACGAGGGCCGCTGGGAAAGCGCCGTGGTTATTGTGGTGCCGTGCCTTTCCTGACCATTTAACCCGTGTGTGTCACCGGCAGAGTTGTTGAGTGTTGGGCCGTAATTCCATTTTTCCCCATAAGCCTTGTGGGTTTTTGGTACTGGTTGGTGCTTTTTACAACATGTACGTCTGTAACTGCAGATGAGGCCGGAAAGGAGAGGAAGGGGAGGTTGGCTGCACGATTGGAAGCCATGGGTGTGATCATGCGGGGACGTTCGCAGTACTCTTGGGACTCGGGGGGCCTGGTGACGCCTTGAGCTTCCCTGGGCCTGCGTGAAGTTCTCCCTGGCGCCCCAGTCTGCCTTTTCTGGTTGCGGGAGAGCACCCCGGCCTTAGAGTTGGCGTGGTGGAAGCCGAGGAGCACAAGGACTAGCGCCTCTGCTGCTGCCCCCGCCCCCGTGGGGGTCCCCCTGCCTAGATGAGTGCCCGTAGACTGTGGTGTTTGGTGGCCCTTCCATGGCTGGCACCTGTTCACCGGCCAGCCTGTGGTGCGTCTGCCTGGGAATGGAAGGGAAAGACC